GTGATGTCATTTAGAGCTGCTTTTCATTTCATCTGCGAGAGTTTTGACACTAGTACCTCTTGGCGAAGAAAGCCACGAGTCGTGGCAGTGTTTGTACAAGAGCGGCGCCAGCTGTTGGTGGCTCCTCTGCAGATGCCAGCTCTTCAGCCGTAGAGATGAAGACCATGCATGAGGCCTCTGCTTGGGGTGGGGCCTTTGCCGCCGAAAAAGCTTACTTGATTTTCACTGTCAATTATTGGCCTTACAAATGCTACAGCCTGACACTTACTGGCAAAGCCTGTCGATTTAACAGAGAAGCTGTTTCTGTGGTTTATCACAGTGCCTCTGCAGCATCACGTGGAATATCGTTAGTATGTCAGCCTACCGTACTGTTTGAGAGTGGAACCTTTTCAGTTTCTCATATGGCATTTTGTTCTGGACACTTACAGTTTCACATACTGGCATTATTAGATTCTTACCAACTGTGTGACTTCTTCTGGACATTAAATTCTGCTACTGAGTAATTTACTTTCTGAGCCTTTTTAACTGAATATGATATTTTTTTAAAAAGCTTCACTCTCTTTATCTTAAATAGCTGTTAGAATCTCCAAACAACCAGCAGCTTCAGTTGTCAGTGGTTAAGTGACTTTGTGGTTAGGTGCATTCACAGCTGCATTTGTAAAGTGCTCTCTGTGGATGATGATGGTAGAATAGGACAGCTTGGACTACCAGCCCGGTACAACCTAGTGATTGTTTCATCATCAGGATGGACTCGTGTGTGTCCTGTATTGCACTAGTGCAGTGAAATGGCCTCTGAAGTTTGTGATTCATTGTTGCTACCTTATCAGAATAGTCTGTAGGCTTGAGATCTTCCTCTCCTATCTTATACCTCTTCTTCAGAAGCCACTCTGCATAGGAGAATTCCCTTCAGTTTTCTTTGGCAGTAATAGAACCTGTTTGCTCCAGTTGGTGGTACAAGGTGGGGGTCAGGGCAGGTAACCCAGAAGAGGCTGTGTCGTCTGGCTGCCATCCCTGCAGTTTTAGAGCTCACCAGCTATCGACAGCTGCCCTGTTGTGCATAAAAAACTGTAAGTGGATCCAACCAAATGAGCATGATCTTACTGCCTGCGTCTGGATGAGGCTTAAAGCCCTGTAATAAAGTCACTGTGGGTGCTACCAGTCTCTGCTCATCGCTGTGAATGTGCATTGCCCTGTGCAAAGTTCAAATGGCATTTGTTCTTTCTTAATTACTCTTTTGGAGCCTCTAGCCACAGCTCAGGCACACCCTGGGATTCTCGAGAACCCTAGTTGAGAAACTCTGGTTTAGACAGTTAGCTGCAGCATCTAGAGCTTTCTGTATTTAAAAGTGTGAGGCAGAAGTAATGCCCCCCTAAAGATGTGCATATCCCAATCCTTAGAACTATGAATATGTATATTACATGGCAAAAAGGCCTTTGTGGGTGTGATTATGTTAAAGACTGAGATAGAGGTTATTAGTGCCTCTGCAGCATCACGTGGAATATCGTTAGTATGTCAGCCTACCGTACTGTTTGAGAGTGGAACCTTTTCAGTTTCTCATCTGGCATTTTGTCCTGGACACTTACAGTTTCACATACTGGCATTATTAGATTCTTACCAACTGTGTGACTTCTTCTGGACATTAAATTCTGCTACTGAGTAATTTACTTTCTGAGCCTTTTTAACTGAATATGATATTTTTTTAAAAAGCTTCACTCTCTTTATCTTAAATAGCTGTTAGAATCTCCAAACAACCAGCAGCTTCAGTTGTCAGTGGTTAAGTGACTTTGTGGTTAGGTGCATTCACAGCTGCATTTGTAAAGTGCTCTCTGTGGATGATGATGGTAGAATAGGACAGCTTGGACTACCAGCCCGGTACAACCTAGTGATTGTTTCATCATCAGGATGGACTCGTGTGTGTCCTGTATTGCACTAGTGCAGTGAAATGGCCTCTGAAGTTTGTGATTCATTGTTGCTACCTTATCAGAATAGTCTGTAGGCTTGAGATCTTCCTCTCCTATCTTATACCTCTTCTTCAGAAGCCACTCTGCATAGGAGAATTCCCTTCAGTTTTCTTTGGCAGTAATAGAACCTGTTTGCTCCAGTTGGTGGTACAAGGTGGGGGTCAGGGCAGGTAACCCAGAAGAGGCTGTGTCGTCTGGCTGCCATCCCTGCAGTTTTAGAGCTCACCAGCTATCGACAGCTGCCCTGTTGTGCATAAAAAACTGTAAGTGGATCCAACCAAATGAGCATGATCTTACTGCCTGCGTCTGGATGAGGCTTAAAGCCCTGTAATAAAGTCACTGTGGGTGCTACCAGTCTCTGCTCATCGCTGTGAATGTGCATTGCCCTGTGCAAAGTTCAAATGGCATTTGTTCTTTCTTAATTACTCTTTTGGAGCCTCTAGCCACAGCTCAGGCACACCCTGGGATTCTCGAGAACCCTAGTTGAGAAACTCTGGTTTAGACAGTTAGCTGCAGCATCTAGAGCTTTCTGTATTTAAAAGTGTGAGGCAGAAGTAATGCCCCCCTAAAGATGTGCATATCCCAATCCTTAGAACTATGAATATGTATATTACATGGCAAAAAGGCCTTTGTGGGTGTGATTATGTTAAAGACTGAGATAGAGGTTATCCTGGAGGTCCTTTTTGGGCTTTGTGGACAATTAAATTAAAAAATGGTAAATGAGACGTGGTTAGAAGCATGGACTCTGGAGCCAGACTTCTGTGTGATAATGGACAAGTTACTTAAGTATGAATACCTATGTCACTGTGAAAATTCATTCAGCTGTGCTTAAGAGTCTGAACACTTAAATATGTATATTACCCTTCAGTATAAGGGTTTGTTTTTTAAAAAGGCAAGCCACTGAAAAACTGCTTGCAAGATGTACCCAACAAAAAAGCTTTTATCAAAATATTATAGAACTCCAACAAGTGAATAAGAAAAAGATGAACATTTCAGTAGAAAAATGTGCAAAATAATTGGACAGACACTTCAGAAAAGAGGAAATTCAAATGCTCATTCTAAAATGAAGAGGTGCTCAGCCTCTTTAATCATTGGAGAAATGCACATTGAAGCTAGATCAACATTTCTCCACACCTAAACTGGCTAAAGAGAAATCTCTGAAATTACAAGTGTTAAGGAGGATGTAGAGCAGTTGGAATTGTGCTATGAGTAGAAATTGCCAAGTCCTTCACCACCGCTTTGTAAAACAGTTGCCATTCCACAGTAAACATGAGGGTAGTGCACCATGGGATTCAGCATTTCCGCTCTTGGAAATGTGTGCTTTTGTGCACCAGATTTGTGTACAAGAATGCTTCTAGCAGCATTGTTAACAATTTCCAAAAAACTTGAAGCAACTCAAATGCCTATGGACAGAAGAATGGATACATAAATGTGGTATATTTATTTATACAACCTACATACTATTGCCTAGTAGTATATAATCATAACAAATGCAAAGTTACAGCTCCTGGCAACAACTTGGATAAATCTAAAGTTCAAAAGCAGGCAAAACATTACATAGGGATGCTTTTTGTAGTTATTTTAAAAACCACAATAGTGGGGAGGGATTAGGAAGAGCATTGGGTGGGGATAGAAGGGAGATCTTGGGATAATGTTTTAATTTTTGACCTAAGTGGTTTTGTGGATGCTTGCTTTCTGGTTTTATTTGCTTTTCTGTGTGTTAGATTTCACAATAAAAATTTTTAAAAAGAAATAGTACAGCAAGAGACCTTTTATCTTTTAAGAAAACTTTTAAGTATTGAAAATGTGTTAAAATGTGGCAAAATGTAAAAACACTGCTTTGAAGTGTTCCGTTTTGGTTTTCTACTTTGTATAATTCTGACGTTTAATTAGGCAAACATTTTCTTTAATAAGTATCACCAGTAAGGACTCTTAGATTTCTCTCATAACTTCCATATCATAAAATTCACTCACTGTAAGTATACAATTCTATACAACACTTGGATTAATCAGAATCTATCAGTTTGACACAATTTGAGATTATTTCCATCACCCCACAGAATTCCCTCAAGCCTGTTTGCAATTAAATTTAATATATTATGATGTAAGTAATGTGATTGACATGCTTCATGATTACGAGTAGGGTTGCCCATTGGTGCATAGAACCTTGAACAGTGTCAGTGAAAGTCCATCATGGATATTAGGTTTGATAGTTTGAGGTACTATGTCCATAGTAAATCTAACAACAGTTAGATTAACTGTTGTGTGAACATCTAGTCTCCATAGATGATTTGAGATACATGAACAAGCGGTACAGTTGATTTCTTCCTTCATGTCATTTTATTGGCCAGAAATGCTCCTGTGTGGTTCTGAGTGGTTCTCAATTTTAAAAAATTTAATTGATAATATGGAAAAGATTTCAAACATCAGGTTGCTCTTGTATGGCTTTCTCAGTAGGAATAATTCCTGAGAGAATAAATCATACAGAATAAGATGAAGAAAGGAGTAGGCAATTAGACCGTATCAGTTATCGATGAAACACATAAATAGTAAATTCTAAGTTATTTCCTCCATCATTAGTAACTACAGGATTTGTTGACTATGGCATTAAATTTTTCAGACTTTCAGATAATAAATTTAAAATTCTTTTTCTGTCTTTGTTCTACCACTTCCCATTGAGATATGAAGTATAATTTATATATATATATATGTGAAGTATATAATATATTATGTTATGCCTAATTGTGTGTAATTTGTTATTGGGCTTCCTGGAGTGAGTTGAATTTTTAACAAACTTGAGTTAATAATTTATGCTTTAGTGCTGAATATGAGGTATGGCAGTACAGATGTGTCTTGTGTCTAATTAAATATTTGTCTGAAAAAATGACCTCTCATGTGAGAGGGTTTTGGAAACCAAAATAATGTCCAGCTAGTTGCTAAGTCAGTTAAGAGCAAGGCTGTATCTCCTCTGTGTTGTTAAAATATTTACTTTGAAATTATTGGTGGAGCTCATTTTTATTGCTGTTTCTCTGTTGCCAGGTACTTTATTACCGAGGTTGCCATCTGAACCAGGAATGACGTTACTCACTATCAGAATTGAGAAAATTGGTCTGAAAGACGCTGGGCAGTGCATTGATCCCTATATTACAGTTAGCGTCAAGGGTAAATAACTGTCTGCATTTTTTTCCTTTGGTGAATTTTATAATGTTGCTTTTCATTTGGGACATTGGGCGGGGCTGGCTCTTCTATATGTGACAACTCAGTTTAGTTCATTCTGCGATGAGGTAATATCCCTGGGAAGAGGTCTCATTCCTTCACCAAACATTTCTGGGAGATATACTAAAAATACTTGGCTGTTTATAACTGCCATTTGCTTTTGAGTTTTCCTTTGTATGTCTTTTTATTCTCAGAATTCTATCCAAGGTGCTGAGTAGACAAGCAGAGTCTTTAACAGCAGATAACATCCTTCCGGAAACAGCTTCCAAAAAAGGCCCCCCACTCCCAAGGCCAAGTGGGTCTTTGCAGAGCCCAGTGCTTTTCCCGTGCCCTTGCTTTAAGCCCCCTCCTTCCTGCCCTGGGAGGTGTGTGTGCAGCAGAGTCCTGCAGAAGTGGACGCGAGGCCTCCAGTGGATCGTCAGTGGGGACAGGAAAATAGGGCACATCCATAAACATCCATCCCCTGAATGCAGTCCTGTGGGACATTGAAAAAGTGATGTATTTCTTATCCTGAACTACAGTACCGTGGTTGTTAAGCATGATTATCCTTAGGCTTTGTTTCCTTCTACTGTCCAGGGTAACAAACCATTTATTCCTTGGAAACTTTTCCAAAGTCTTTGGTTTAAGAAGGAAACACAGTGGTTGAATTGTTTTGTTGTTGCCAAGTATTTTATACAGCACTGTATTTGTGAAGCACTCAGTGCTTTCTTAAAAATAATTATTGGATGATTGAGGATGAACTTGTCATGCTATTATTCAGAAATAACTACACAGTTGATCCAATCCACAGTTAATCTGCAGCCTGAGGCAAATCAAAGAAAGAAACAGATACCGACTGAAATTAAATAGGGGGGATTTTTAATCAATCAGAGAAACAAATTCAGACCCATGGATTCATCAGTACCAAATAAAATAAAAAGGAATTCAGCCACAGAGAAGAATTTTAACCAGGAGACACCATGATCCACAGCATTAATATTGTAGTACTTTAATTTTTTAGCAATAACAATTTGTTATTGGTTATCAAATCTGTGCTCTACTGGAGAGTATTTATACCCAACATTATTTGATAGGCTATTTGCAAAACCACATATTTGATTTGGGAACATACAAAAAAAATGTGATGATAATGTGGTAGATATTATGTTACCTTTGCATGCCTGTTGAACTGAAACGTGTTTGTGTAAATATTTTTAAGAACTGAAATAGTCAAAATGTTCTAAACTGTTTTAAGTTTCCTAACATGGATCTGCTGAATGATACAGAAACACTAAGTAGTTATTATAAATGAGTCCATGTTGAATTTGGTGAAATGGGAAGATTCCTGGCTCCAGGAAATTAAAACCTTACACCACACATAGTGTATTATCTGGTTGTAAATCAAGTTTATGTTATAGCAAATACAACCAGAATTTAGGTAATATATATAAGAATTATTGTTTATGGAAAGGTTTCATAAGCACCTTTCATGTCCATTGTTTGGTCTTCCCACTTGAATACAACAGGGAAATCCTGATAACATCAGATTTAAAGGCCTTCCCATGCCATGCCCCCGATCAGCATTGGAAAGTAGGGGTAAGGGTCCCACTATGGAATATTATACACATTTCAAGTTTTTATTTGCACACAAAAATATAGTGGCATATTCCTTAGAGAAGACAAAAAGTTCTTTCACCTCTTAACTATAAAACTGCCTGGCAGGGTAACAGTCGCAGACGATTCTTATTTTCCAGAGAATGATTGGAAGCCTCCAAGCCCGTCCGGCCCTCCCCAGAAACCTGCTAGATCCGGGTGACACTGGTCGAGCCATCTAGAGCCTGCGTAGGATAGATTGATTTGCCTGGTCATTGACCTTTTTTAATGAGAAAATGTGTCCCACATCAGCAGACAGCTAATTACCTAATAATACATAAACCATGGCCATCACAGGGACCAGAGGATGTGGGAATCACTGTGGCATGGAGAAAGCCAAGTAGGAATTTTTCAACCCTGAACCAGTCCCACTTCGCCACACTCCTTAAAAAGCCTCTTCTGTTGCTGAGCCGGGAGATGGATTGGAACTGGCCTCCTGCAGTAAAGCTCTTTCAGTTGCCAGAGCCGGTGTCCTGTGTTTTTTGGCTTAGGGTGTGCTTGGGGCAGTGGACCCTTGTTCGGTTACAACTGTGCAGGATCAAACTGTGTTGCCTTCCAGCTTCCTTTTGTACCCATTTTAGGGAAGGGCTTTCTCCTCCCATCCCTGTGGTCTCCCACCTTCTCTCTCCTCAGCTCCCTCCATGTACCTCTGGAAATCAGCATCTCTGCAGGCACCTGCTCACACCAAAGTGAGTGTCTGTTACCTGGACTCTCCTCTTAGCTCTTGCCGAGATTCTCTAGGGAATACAACCTTCTGCTTTTTGTGAGCCTGTATATTTGACTTCTCCTAAGCAGACACCTTTTTTCCTTTCTAGATCTGAATGGCATAGATTTGACTCCTGTGCAAGATACTCCTGTGGCTTTGAGAAAAGAAGATACATATGTTCATTTTAATGTGGACATTGAGCTCCAGAAGCATATTGAAAAATTAACCAAAGGTTGGTTTGTAATTGTAAATAATTGGCTTATATCCAGAGTTCTCATCTTGTTAATGAGGTATTATATTATCTAGTTTTGTAATAAATAACAGTTATATGATATTCTTTAAGAGTAACATTTTATCATCTTCAACAGCAAAACAATGAAAGCTTCCCTCAAACTAAAGAGCTGGGGGAGGCCGGAGGGGCTCCCTCAGGCTCCCTGATTAAGTCTCTAAAAACTGAAAGAACAAGTGTTTGGAGTATTTTTTTTGCAGCCGAATTTATTGATTTATATGAGTAGAAAAGACACCGTAACTTGTAGTTAGTTATCAGGAAGATGGGAGGGGACAAAGGCAAATCTGTGAAAAGGTGAAATTCCATTTCCAAGTTAAACAGTTCCTCGGTTTAAATGCTTCTCCAGGCCTCTGGCCCAGCAGGAGTGTCCGCAGGCTCTGGGAGGAAGACGCTAGCATCCCTTTCTCACCGGAGAGTTGGTTGCAGTTTTTAGATTTTCGAGCCCTGCAGGAAGCTGGCACAAGATAGAGAAGTGCCCTTTGAACGATGGCCACCTCCTCGAGAGTGCCTGGTATTTTCCCTCTCGGATCTGGTGCTGCTCTGCCCCTGCAGAGCCTCGTCATCCCGAGCTTGTGTGTGAGCAGAGGCTCCCAGAGGCCGAGCAGCAGCAGCAGGAATTGTTCGGCGTGAGGAGACAGGGCAGCCCCGACCTCCCCACTCTGGAACTGTCGGGTGGGACCCAGCAGTGTAGTTTAGAAGGCATTCCAGGTGATTCTGATACACACCAAGGTTTCAGGTCACTGTGTTAGAAGAACACATAGCACGTGCTTATGAAATAATGTTGAAGGCATGCCTGCTGCATAAAAACATTAATAAAAGAATATTTTCCATTGCTTTGAGAAATGCTTCTGATAAGGTGGAGGAGTATTTCATGGGCTGACTTTCCTATTTTTTTGAGCTGTGTTTTCGATGACTTGACTTACAAGGTGCTAATAGTAGAACTATATTCAGAATTTGACTCGCTTCATTTTGTCCACTTTGAATTTATTATGTACAGTTACTGTGGTTTTAATGGATATGAATGCTAATGAACATACTGTCTTCATGTTCACAAGCATTTCAGTTACTCTTTGGAGGCTTTTCTCACTTCATGTTTTGTTTTCTTTTTACTTTGAAGTATAAAGCACATTATGCAGACCAGGGATGCAGAAAATATATAATCTATTGGTGCAGATGAATAATAAAAATTTTTTTTAGTTCCTTAAAATGATGTTATCATATTTGGACTTTATATTGTTTTCAAATGAGACTTTATTTTCACATTTATTCAGACTTCATACATAGACATGGCAAGGAGATGGGTTCCATAGCCGAAGAGACTAAGAAATGTAATCTAGCTTAAAAGCCTGTGAGGTTTTTTTAATAGAGTGAAACAACTCTGTTAGTGCTGTGGAAGGGAAAAGAGAAGCCACCTTTATGAGGGTATGGTGGGGTCATACACTTGGGGTGCAAAGTCACCAGTAGCCTAGCAATGTTATCCTTTTGTGTGTGTGTGTTTTGGGAGTAGTTGGCTAAATGTGACCCTCTTTCCCTCACCCACATCCCATTGTCTCTTGGGAATTTGGTTTTCTTCCTTCTCTTGACATGCAGGGTATTCCATTTGGACCCAAGTGCAAGGGCTGCATATACATTTCTGAATATTGTTAAACCTCTAGTCACTTGTGAGTTTTGTTATCAGTGAAAGCATTAGATGTATGTTGTCTTTAAAAGCTGAGCAAGGTCCAGCACTGCTCTGATTAAGGGGTATTAATAAGTAGCCAGTTAAGACTGAGACCCCAACTTCTTTCCATCTGTTTCCATGCCTTTAGAACAAACTACTTGGCTACATTGATGAGACAACTTACTGTTCTAGTTTTTTTCTTTGGGGAGGTGGGGAGAGCTTATCTGTTGGGCTTTAGAGGAGAAAACTATCTAAACTTTTCATTATTACTTGTTCATCAGGAAGGTGGTAGGGGTCAGGGGTGGAATAGGCTTGCCTTCTTTAGACTTTCTCCTCCATAGTGGTATCTTTACACAAACATATATAATCATGGGGGTTGGGGGAGACAGATGCTTTGAACACTGGAAAAGGTGTTAGGAAAAAGGTTAACATTTAAAAGCTTGAACCAGCATATGATTTATATTGTTTGAACTCCAAAACACTCAAAAATTCAGTTGCGGGGTTTTTGTTGCAGGGGAGGAAAAATGATTTAAGCTTGATTTTTTTTTTTTTGGATGAATGCTTTACATGCCTTTTCTACCTATTGAGTTTCTATGGATAATATTAATACTTAACAGGTATCCTCTGTGTTCTTTTTTTGGTATTTGGTATTTTATATTTTATATTAAGTAATTTTATATTCAGTGTATTTTATATTTTTCAGTAATTTATTATTCTACCTGTATATGAACTTGAATACATTCTTGAGTCAGTCTAGCTCAAGAAGTTTTGCTCTACTTTGTAGAAATGGATGATATGGACAATGTTACTCCATTCACAGGTGTTTTGGGTGACAACCACAGTCTTAATCATCAGAGAGATTGTTTGACAAAGGTGACTTCATAAAATTAAACCAGTTGTTTGTTTATGTGCTCTGGTGATCAAAGAAAATGTGTTGACACACTGGAAATGGGCTATCTGTGGCTTATGTGGTTTGCTTTAATTCCTTAGGTGCAGCTATCTTCTTTGAATTCAAACACTACAAGCCCAAAAAAAGGTTTACCAGCACCAAGTGTTTTGCTTTCATGGAGATGGATGAAATTAAACCAGGGCCAATTGTAATAGAATTGTAAGTGATGCACGTACAAAATTAGTACTAATTTCATGGTGACTAGCATTTCTTAATGTGTGACATTGGAATAGATAAATTATCAAAATATTTTAAACAATGTTTTATCCAACTGTGGTTACAGATACAAGAAACCCACTGACTTTAAAAGAAAGAAATTGCAGTTACTGACCAAGAAACCACTTTATCTTCATCTACATCAAACTTTGCACAAGGAATGATCGTGACGTGAATAACCTGGAACTTCTGTGAATTTTATCACTCAGCAGAAACCATCATAGCTGTGTGGCTTATTCACCCTTCAGCGGGCAGGAAGCAAGCTGTGCCCTTGCCGGTAGGCCAGAGTGAGTCCACTGCAAAGCCCTACCACGGAATCCAGTCTAGCACATCACTGACATAGAAGACGACTCCTTTGGATACAGGCTTATTGTAGATTCTGAAACATGTTTGTACTTTTCTATTAATTGTGCAATTAATATTCTCTTTTCTAATTTACCACTACTCCTGCCCTGCTTCCTGGAACAGCACTGGTGTGGGTAGGATGTGCTCATCTTCAAAATTAATACAGCAATAAGAATGTGTTGGAGTTTACACATCTGTTCACTTCGGCTCCAGTGTGCTCTTTTTGTTTGTTTTTGAGTTAATGTCAAACTTTGGGCTGATGTGGGTAGGATGGTATGAAACTGCTTTGAGAGGAATTGGACTAATTATGCTGCCCAAGTTCTGGAGATTGTTAGGCTGCTCCTCAGAGATGGCCTAAGTTCACCCTGACTGCAGAGTTTTCCTGCTTAGAAACAGTGTGCCTTGGCCAGGTCAGTATCCTATATGGGAGTGTTCCCAGACTGTAGCTGTGATTTTTCCAGATGACCAGATGGTTTTTCTGAAAGTGAGCATATTCTTAGTCATGTTGATTAGCTGTTCTTCTACATCACATTGTTCTTCTGTCTGATAGTGATTCTAGGATTAATGAGGGAACCATCTCAGAATCAGATTTTTAGATGGGTTTATAATGTCTTCTAAATCATATAATCTGAAAATAATTTGAGTCAGATCTGAACGGGATACTGCAGGAATAACTGCTGTTTTTGACAACTGATTGTGAAACCTTAAAACCTGCATACCTCTTCTTACAGTGATGAGTATGCAAAATCTGGAGATACTCTATTTTTTTTATATATATATAGGTAGATAGGAGTGTGCCATTTATTTCTTATTTAGATATACTGACATCCATATGGAAATATGCAGGTCATTAGCTTATTATAATTTGACTATTTACATTACTTTTGACTTAACGGGGCATAAAACCTTTCATAGTACATACAAGGTGGATATTTGATACACAGAACATTAAGATTCAGGGTGGGCTTTCTGTGGGTTAGATATAGAGCTCACATATTTAATGTTCACTTTTAAGTGACCAATGCTAGCATAAGGGGAATGCAGTACCAGTACTTGGCCTATATTTAAGCTAGTATAATAACCCTAGTCAAATTCAATGTTTACTTTTTAAAACAAGTAACCACAATCAAGTTGTTCTAGCCCTGGAACATGAAGACAGCTAGTCTTTCAGTTGTCTGTTAGGTCAATTCTGTTTATGATGGATGTTAAAAACAGTATGAGCCTGAAAGAATTCTCAACCAAATTTAGTCTTGTCTCTCATGTTGATTAGATTAATTCCAAAAATGATTCAAGCCACACTAGCTTGAGGGGATGAAGAATTTGCCTTAATAAATTACTTTGTTGTTCATGGAAATCCTAGACTGTAAGCTCCTCAAGGGGCAAGAACCACATGTTCTCCTTGTCATGTAAATTTTCTAAGGTGCTTAGCAGCACTCTGTACCCTGTGGAGTACTCAGTACCTTTTGTTTGATGTTGCTGACAAAACCTCAAAAATAATCCCTTAAAAGAAACCTACTATTAAAATGTAGCAAACCTGTGCCATTTATTTCTTATTTAGATATACTGACATCCATATGGAAATATGCAGGTCATTAGCTTATTATAATTTGACTATTTACATTACTTTTGACTTAACGGGGCATAAAACCTTTCATAGTACACACAAGGTGGATATTTGATACACAGAACATTAAGATTCAGGGTGGGCTTTCTGTGGGTTAGATATAGAGCTCACATATTTAATGTTCACTTTTAAGTGACCAATGCTAGCATAAGGGGAATGCAGTACCAGTACTTGGCCTATATTTAAGCTAGTATAATAACCCTAGTCAAATTCAATGTTTACTTTTTAAAACAAGTAACCACAATCAAGTTGTTCTAGCCCTGGAACATGAAGACAGCTAGTCTTTCAGTTGTCTGTTAGGTCAATTCTGTTTATGATGGATGTTAAAAACAGTATGATCCTGAAAGAATTCTCAACCAAATTTAGTCTTGTCTCTCATGTTGATTAGATTAATTCCAAAAATGATTCAAGCCACACTAGCTTGAGGGGATGAAGAATTTGCCTTAATAAATTACTTTGTTGTTCATGCAAATCCTAGACTGTAAGCTCCTCAAGGGGCAAGAACCACATGTTCTCCTTGTCATGTAAATTTTCTAAGGTGCTTAGCAGCACTCTGTACCCTGTGGAGTACTCAGTACCTTTTGTTTGATGTTGCTGACAAAACCTCAAAAATAATCCCTTAAAAAACCTACTATTAAAATGTAGCAAACCTGATACATTGTTCTTTTTTTCAGACCGTAACACATACATTTCAAAGTGATGATTGATATGAAGATGCATCAGCTGTTATTCACATAAGTATGGTTTATATGAACTACACAAGCCCTTAATCAGTATTAAAAAGCTTACATGGAACACTGTGTGATTAGCTTAGCTTTAATTCAGACCTGAATGAAACGACAAAACAAGCGATTGTCCTGAAGGAGACACAGAATAGTCCACATCCCACAGTTTAGATTTACTTTCTAATGAAAGAAATCAGCCATTGACCAATAACCACTGCTACAGTAGAAATGCTTTTAGGCTGAAACATTGCTGCTTAATAAAATGGTTTTAGCAACTAAGCCCAGAAACAAAATTAGCTGGAGATGACTTCTGAATAGAGGTCACTTTAGAGACAGCCCCCTTTCTGTACTTGGCAGCCTGCCTGGGCTCCGCTGCAGAAGTGGCACCATCAGGGCTCAGAGAGGCAGCAGTATGGCAGGTTCCGAACTGCTCCCCTCAGGGACTTTGTAATTTCTCTAGTTTACTGATTTTTCAATAATATGATACACAATAAAAATCAAAAGAACTTTAGAGGGCAAAAAAAAAGACTAGCATTTGGTTTTAAAATAGATTTACCTTTACCACTTGATTATCTTCCTACCTGGTATGATCTATATTTAAATACTATTGAAACTTAGAAATTTTATTCATTTTGTCATTCTTTTGTGAGATTGATATATTCAGGATGTTATATTTGTGACTTATAACCTGTGCTATTCACTATGGAATTTTCCTTATAGATCTCTTCTTGGTATTAAATGGGAGAACATAGAGATGAATTCTCTTCTCCTGAAGAACTCCTTAGACATTCCTTATGAATTTTGAGTTTTCTTCTTTCAAAGGTCCTTATCTTTCTGAAGTGATATATTTTCTTAGTTTAATGTAAAGAAAAATTGCTTCATTTTATATTTTTATATATTAAATGTAACTAACAAATAATGATCTAGGTTTCAATAGGATTACATCATAGACCTTAAGAGAATGGGAGAGTATAGTCTTAACAGTGAACAAGAATGTCATCAGGCTTTTATAATTTTGATTTATTCTAATCTTAAACTACTTAAAATGTGCTATGAAGTTACTACTTCATAAGTGTCTAGAGTGAGTTCTCAAGAAACATTGTTTACAAGACATGGTATAGTAATGGGTATAAAAAGACTTATTTAGGGTATTAATTCCAGCTTCTTAGATTGGTGCTTATATTTTAAAAATCAGCAAATGTTCAAATACGAATTTTGAAGTAGTATCAAGCAAAAAGAACAGTTCAGCCCCTGGTTGCTGAACTAAGGCATGTTACAAGCCTCACAATCCAAATAATTCTCAACAGTATTATACTCTTCTGATCTTTTCTGCCATATTCTTTGAAAATTAGTGGCTAGGTATGAGGGTAACAGACTGTACATTTTTAAAAAGAAATTGCCTTTTCTGGTCACAGTACATCTTCAATTTTCTGTTACGTACCCTTTAATGCAGGAATGGTAAAACAACAGAACATCAGGTCAAACAACTCTTGCTATTAATACAAACTCATACTCAAGAAACTATTCTCCACGAGGCAATGAAAGTCCCAAGCAAGCATGCGAATGCTGTACAAACGGGCCCACTGACTTTTGCAGGAAAAGGAAGACATCAGTTGTGGCATTCCCAGGTGACTAGGGTTGAACCTCTCAAGCAGTGAGCAAAAGGCCATGTGCTGCCAAGTCACCATTTTCAGTTCTGGAAGCATGAGATTACGTGTTTCCGAAATGGCACATCTTAGGAGAAAAATCCAATGAATCGACGGACACTTGGAAAATATTAATAACCAAAGTTTTATGATCTGTTACTACAAAGAATTTCAGCAAGAGGGGAGATAGTTTAGTGATATTTTAGTAAACATTTTTAGCATAAGTCTTTATGATCAATTATTTTTAAAAAACCACACAAGCTCATAAACACTCTTGCTCTGTATTCAACTGTTGTATATTAAAAATAGAATAAATGGAAATACATGTTCTTATAGCATTTCCACAGGAAATGTTTGTATTTTTCATGACATTCTAAATCATTTAGTAGTTACATATGCTACATTAACTAAAACACAGGTATTTATTTATTGCACATTTCAAAGTTGTAAGGAGGCTCTAGCTTACAAGGTGATTTTTATTTGGGAGAGAAAATGGTATTTTTTAATTGGCTCAAAAAATGCACACTGCCAGAGCAGCTATTTCTAAAAACAAACCTCTTAAAATAAACTTTTGGATGTTGAAGCCAATGAAATCCGTTACTGTAATGAACAGTGCAGTCTCCTTCGTCTCAGACTAACGTCAGAGTCACAGTTACGGGCTCTGCTTGAAAGCCGGTGAGCAGTCCTGGCTGCTGCCGCGAGCAGCAGCTGGGGGCTCATCTCTAGAGCCAGAAGGCAGTACGTCTTTTGCAACAGGTGAAGGTGGATGATCCTGGGGGCCATGGGTTGGAGGTGGTCCTCGGGTACCAGGAATAAAGTACTCTCTTGGGCCGTGAGAGCCTAGAGGTCTAAAAGGTGTGTGTCCTGGTAAAAATTCTCGAGGGTCATGGGGCAGGTCCCGTTTCCCAGGTGGAATGCCCGGTGCATATTCTCTTAAGCCTAGTGGTGGGCGCAAACCAGGACCTGGAAAAATAAAAAGTCAGGTAAATATGTATGAACATACCTAAACTTCGATGACTCCAGGTAATGTGAATAGTTTCTCAAAGCCCTAGAAGTGGGGTGGTGGCACCCCCACCCTATAGGAGAGGAAAACGGAGGCTCAGCAAGTTTAGGTTGCATGTTGATGGCCAGCAGCCATGAAGCAGCACAGGCAAGATTTAAACATGTTCTACCTCGCTTGTGTGTTTTTTCCTACACGATTCTGCCATTTTTATCTCACAACAGCTTGGTTTGTACTTGGAAGTACCATGTATCATACCAAGATGATACATTATGAAATAGAGGCTTCACTGCAAAAGAAATTTTGATAAAGGAAACTGAATCAAACATACATGCAGTAGCTCAGCAGGGACCTAACATAGGCCCCTGCAGGGAAAGGCCTTCCTGCTGCACCTTAGACTGAGCAACATTCATGAGGTAGCTATTCAGTTCTGCCTAGTTCTTAACGCTTCCCATTTACTCCCAAGATGAGAAGTCAGTCTTCCTCTCGTAGTCTGCGACACATTGCTTATGCTTCCATTGTGGTGATTATAAGCTTGATGTCGTATAATGGAGGTATTCTTGGAGTCAGGAGAGTGAGGTCTTTTCCATCACAGAGCCTAGCAAACAGCCACCCATGTTCAATAAACAACTGCAGAAGCAGTACCTCTGGCTTTCTGTGAACAGCTCCTTTGTCCTTGTCTACAAGAGATACTACCTACTGCCCATTTTAGGATAGGGACATTATGAAGCAGCCATGTAGCCTACGAAACCTGAGGAAGAGTTACAGCAGACCCAGCCTGCTTTACCCTTTCACTGCAAAGCTCTCTGATAGCAACTGTTAAAATTTTACAAGGAACAGAGAGAGAAGATGAATATGCTTTACAAGTCATTACTACTGTTCTATCATACCGAACGGTGGAGGAAGTGGCCGAGGCCCGAAAGGCCCGCAGAGTTGAGGAGGTGGTCCGTATCGGATGGACGGTGGTAGTGGTAGAGACCCTCCCATGGGGGAGCTCATGAGGGGCACCCCTGGGAAAGGAGGGGGCCCTTTTGCTGCCATATTAGCCTGCAGAGCAGAAACAAAAGTTTTAAAATACTTCAGTATGACAGACAAAAGCACCAACACCAGTAAAAGCTGAAACCCAGTAAAGCAGACGTCCGGCACCTGCCCAAGGAGCAGAACCAGCACAAACTCCACGCCTCCCACTCACCACTGTGGTACTACTGCTGGCCTGGGCGAGTGGGAAGGAACCCAAGAGGACTGACTGTAAAGGATCTTAACAGAGGTGAGTCCCAACTATAAAAAAAATCGTTAACATCATACTCCACTTCTAGGGCCACCCTTCCCTCCCCGTGTGTTTCCCATCACCACAACAGGACACTACTTCCAGGCTAAGCATGGAGGGATAAAAGGGAATGAAAAACCCACTCTCCATACATGTAATAATAGTTACTATTCAGAGTGCCTGCCTTTCATATATTATCACTAATTCCCAGGTCTCTTAAGTCTCTAAGTGTGATCATCTTGTTTTAAATATGAGGGAACAGAGACACAGAGAGTATAAGATAATTTGCTGAAAGTCATGAAGCACGTAAGAGGCCGAGCTGGAATTCAGGCCATGCCTCCTTCCACTTCTGCCTCCCTGATCTAAAAACGGAGTCTACTCTCTTTGAAGTCTTCACTTTAAAGGGGTCTCAGATCTTATCCAAGTTGCCCATGGATAAAAACATCTAAGATATGTGTATTCCTGTACTGCTGCACTGAAACTTAGAAGCATTTCTCAGCAGAAATAATGGCATATATACAAATTAGGCAGGCACAGCAATAATATTTACCTTCATTCACCAGTAATACTATACTTTATATTATGAGATACTAACTAATCCTATGGGAATCTGGGTTGGAAATTCTAAATAATTAAAAATATACATATTTTGACTTCAACTCTGAGGTATGATCAGAGGACTTAGCAGCTAAAACAGCTATACAAGTTACAAGACAATCCACTTACATGGATATAATTGAAGGCCATTGCTGGGAATTAGGACATCAAGTAACTACAGATTTTCACTGTTGGGTAAACATTCTTGTTATCAATCTGTAATTTCAGATTATTCAAAATAAGGTTTGCCTAGTATACATTTGGAGATATTCTTACCCAGCACAACCCCAAACAAATATATAATAATGACTGTGTAACATAATGAATTTACTTTGCCTTGAACACTTCAAACTGAAGCACACAATACAAAGCTGGAGTGATGACTTTTCACATTCTTCAGTTAATTACATCAAATGTTCTAAACAGGTTAATCATCTAACCAAAACAAGAAAGAGGAAAAACCAAGCAACCAACAAGTCAGATTTTAGCAACCCAGCAACACTTCCAAGTCAGAGACAATGGTGAGATGAACACTGCCAAGCAGTGTAAGGCAAAGCAGTTAGTGACACGCTCGCCATATCCTTTCCAGAAGTGCACCACGTAAAGCCCATTTCAGTCCCCAAATCTAAGTACTTACTGCCACTGGATGCTCAGCCACAGATGGATTGCTGGGAGCTGCAGGCCCTTCAGGCTCTTGGGAAACAGTTTGCTTTTTAAAAAATAAATGGTAGTATAGATATAACAGAACACAAGAGCAGAAGATGGATGAGGCAGAGAGGGTGTTGGACAAAGACTTAAATGTGCCTGCAATACTTCACGACAACTAAAAATGAGTGCAGAACGTACCTTGCCATCATCCACCACCTTAGCGGGGGAAGAGCTTCTCGAGCTGCTGTTCCCTGCAGGAGCTGCACCCGATCCTGGATCTGCTGAAGGCCAGGGAACAGATTCAGGCTTATCCTGAATTACATACTCCCTGAGGAAGAATAAGCAATCTTCTACCCACTTCCTCCATGACTAGACTCTGACTACACTCAGTCCCTTTCCCAGATGCCTCAGCTGACCACCGAGGATGGGGCAGTGGCCCATCCACTGACCCTTGAGAAACAAAGAACAGAGCGCTTGCATAGGTTTTTCAGAAGAAATAAACCAACTGTGGAAGGTCAGAGTTCAATTTTACCTAGAAAGCAACATTAAAAAGGGGTCTACCAATACAGATGAGGGGAGACTACAACTTATACACAGACTTAAATAGTTAAAATGATTATCCTGGATTGAAAGAACAGCACTAAAGCCTACACACACATTAACAGCACTGGTCAGGCACTTCAAGCAATAGGCTTTATACAATTATATATGCTGATTTTTTTTCAGTCTAAATATTCCCTTTAACAACTTCCATAGTTTATCAAGTATTATAGACATATTTATGAGTAGAAATAGACTTATAGCATTTTATATTACAGCAATAAGAAATGAATGTATGCTGAATAAATTATACTCTTAAGGCTACCTTTATTATGAGAGGAAGTCCACAGAAATTTAAAGATAAAGCTCTACTCCAGTTAAAAATTAAAAAGTAAAAATAATAATAAATAACTTTAATTTATATATTTACTTAAAAATGTATCTTGTATCTTTATTTTACTTGTATTTGTTCATAATCAACAGTAAATGCTTTCTCATCTAAACCAGATCTTTCAGTAGATCTCAGGCAAATTAAGAAATTTTCTTCTCCGTATTAGACATCCGAAATGTTGTGTGGATCAGAATTCTCAAATAAAAGGGAAAACAACACTTGAAATAGTTTAGTGCAAGGTAACATGGGAACACTCACCAAATTCACTTCTTGGCATCTCTCTCCGATGGAGCGTAGCAGACGGAGGTCTCGCAGGAGGGTCTGCTGGCAGCGGGGGGGAGCATTCGCCAGCACTCACAGGAGACGGGCCGAAGGAGCCGTTCTGGCTCAGAGGACCTGAAGACAACAGTGAACTGCTACCACTTTAAGGCAACCTTTCTTTTCTTTACTAAGTTCTTGGAATTACTTCTAGGTCATCATAACTGTTACAGACAGAAATAAAAGGTAATGCATACACATTTTGCATAAAAAAGTAGACTGTAGCCCTTTGAAAGTTCTCCCTACCTCTCCATGGAGGGTTTTGGGTGTTGGGTCTTCCTGGTCTTGGTTTTACAATCACTGGTTCTTCTTGCAGCATTGCCATCTTTTGGGTTATTTCCAATAATCTTGAAGAGAGAGAGAGAATGGACTTAAACATGAAATAGAAAATAAACTCCTTATTAGATAACACACAGCAGAGCCGTAAAACACTCTAAAATGCACTGAAAAAACAGGTGTCAAAAATCACATACTTGTGTCTCAAGTTGGCAGCTTCTCTTTTCTCTTCAGCTATAGCTCTTTCTGCAGCACGAGCCTTGAGCTGTAAGAAAAAAAATACCCAGATTCAGTTGTGGTAGACTGTGCACAAAATAAAGGAAAGAAAAAAAAAATCTTACCCAGTTATCATGAGCTTTCTTCTCATGAGTAGCAATCTGAAAAAGAGAGCACATCAAAAAAGACTTATTATTGTAGCCTTACAATGGTCTGTATTAGAACCAAAACATTCTGCACCCGTAAGGCAGTATAATCACCTGGCTTTTAAATGAGCGCTCTGTCTTCTGTAATTCATCCTCCATTTCTTCAATTCTCCGCCTAAGAATTACATTTGCTCTATCAATTAAAGCCCAACTGAATAAAATTATAAACAAACTTCACCCTTTACTCTGTTAACTCTAAATATTCTCTTTAATAACTGTACCCTTAGCAGCCTTCACACATCACATAAAAACATATTTCACATGGTTTATAGTAATAAAGTTGACACATTATATCAAGTTGTATCTTGAATTGACACATTATGATTTCCTTAACTGTTCTTCAATATGTTCTCAATTATTCTGCTATGAAGACTGTTTTCCATAAAGCTTTTTCTTCTTTCTCCAAAACAGCCACTCAGAAGTGATGCCATGAACCAAGTTCCCTTACAGTCCTGTCACTATTGGGTTTGAAGAAATTTCTGTTAACATTTTTTTTCTTTGTTTACTTAAAGATTATTTTTTCTCATGTGAATTAAGTGTATTTATGCCCTTTGACCATTTAGTTAGGCTTCTCTGCTATTTTGTTCTACGCAATGTAAAAGCGGTTTTGTTAACAAGAGCCAACGGCAGTTCCGGCAGCCGCTGACGCCCTCTTCGGGAGGCGCGCTCACCTGTAGGTCTGCACCTCCTCCGCAGCCAAGACCACCTTCTCATCCGCCGCTGACAGCCGCTGCTCTCTTTCTTGCCGCTCATACTCTTCTTGACTCAGCTTCCTAAGATAAAACCAGCGGTCAAAGGAAAGTGTTTCTCCTTCTTCCCAGTAGTCTGTCTGAATGTCTCTATTCAAACGTACCTTCCCATCCACTCAAAAGTGCACAGACATACAAAGTTGTAGGAAGAAACTGAAACCTGCCATTTAGGGATAAAAACTGATGTCTGGCCTGTTGGCAAATCACCTGCATTTGCTAACTTCTCCTCAAAAATTCTCTACTCCTTAGTAAATAAAACAAATACATGTTAAAAACACTGTGTGCCCCATGTACAAGCTTCTTATGCTGAAGATGATGAAAGCTCATTTTATTTCAATGTAGAAAACTAGGGCTGATCAACCTAACACAATTAAGCTTAGGTTAAAGTAGGGGAATAATTAACTTCGTTATGTCTACTATGGGAAGACCTGTAATCCCTTCACTTATTTCTATCACGGAAGGACTGTTTCTCGACCCAAGACTGGTACCATGCTAAAGACAGTCAACCAAAGGAGAAGAGCTTTTTAAAACAAGTCTTCTAACTGTGAATTAACCACAGAACATTTCCACACTTCAGATATGGAACTCCTATACACATTTCAATGGAACTGTGATAAAGGAAAAGAAAAACCTTAGAACTGTAATGTCTATTGAATAAACAAAGAATCTGAACTGTCCCATTATCAGGGTATCAGCTACTAAAAACTGGTTTTAACCTAATACCTTCAGGCTTAAGATGTCTGTCTAGCATAATATAGAGTGCAACATTTAATGGTTTAAAAATGCTGTTTTGCTATTACCCTTGTACTTCTTTGCCCATAGCTCTGATTCAAAAGATACTTAACTTGAATTTTCTATGAATCAAAAGCAAAATGAGAAGAGCTATAGAAAAAAGGTTAAGAACACCAAAGAGAAAAAGGCCTCTTTTATAACTGCCCATTCAACACCTCAGCAAGTATTTTATGAGTGGCTGTAATATACTGGTAACCGAGTACAATGCTAAGATAAAAACTGTGGGCAAAGTACTATCCCTGCCCTAACAGAGTTCACAGTTTAAAGTATAAAAGATGCAGGTCATAACAGATCAATCCCTAACTCTGGCTTAGGAAGAGATGCAAGAAAACTGAGTCTTAAAGAAAGATCAGAGAGAAGTTTGCTTCCAATAATGAGTGAGCCAGTCTGAGAACAATTAGAATGCTGGATGTAAAGAATGCACTTGAAGGCATCAAAGAGCCAGTACATTAGCTGACAAGTTAATATATGAAGCCGAGGTCCAGTAGTAAAAGTAATCTCAGAATTACAAGTCCCCCTGGCACCTGAAACCACTTTTCCCCTATGTTCATGCAAAATTACTAAAAATATTCAACCAATGCAAAAAGAATTGAAGAATGAAACAAAAAGGAGAGAAAAATGAACACAGAGAGCAGGCCATCAAATAGAAAGCAAATACCAATAGGTAGATTTAAACCTAAACATGTATTTAGGAGTTATAAGAAAAAAAATGAGTACTCTCCAGTCTCTGCGGCTACCTACCTGTTTGTTTACCACGCCAGAAAAAAATTTTAACATAAACATTTAAGTAGGCAGGAGACTGACAGGTGGAAATAATGTAAAAGGACATGTTCACTGCAGACAAAGTAGGACACACGACAGAGAGGCTCAGGACAAGAACTGTGGTCAGTGGGGCTGCGGGTCAGCAAGAATTGGGATTTGCAGGAAATGCACCTGGACAGGCAGCTGGGGCAGTTCAGGGAGGGGTCTTGTGTGCCTGCTGAACAGTCCGGAACTGAGGGGGTGGAGCATTCCTTGACAGACTTTAAGCACATGGTTACACGGATAGACTTGTATTTTAGAAAGTTCACTTTGGCAGCTGCAGAGAAAATTAAACAGTTTGGAAGAAAAGATTTAAGAAAGGGAAACTGGAGATGGGTGATTAGTTACAGATTGGCAGAAAAGATGATAAGGGCCTGAACTAACACAGTAGCTTTGGGTATGGAGGGGCAGGGTACAAACCAGACATGCTGTGAGAATGCAAACCAGCTGTGTGAGTGCATGTTGGAGGAATTAAATAAAAGAGTGCCACAGTGACTGATCCCGAAGAAAAACAACTTCCATTTAGCTAATCCAGATTACTATTGGTGACAGAGAACTGCTCTTTAAAAAAAAAGGAATGAAATGAAAATGTTTCTCTAAAGCAGGCCAAGTTTTCAGAGCTGGCCTGAACAAATCTTCAAAAAACCTAAACTGACTGCTTGGTAAAAAAGGAGTTAGAGAAAAAGCTAGTGGTATGGCTTCAATATTTAGTGGCATCAGGCAACAGCAGCCTAAGCATTTGAAAAGATTACACTGGCACAGCAAGATCAGCCCTCTCGCAGACGGCCGTGTGCACCAAGGAGCAAAGTATAGGAGCAGCCCAAACAGCAGCTGCTGCTGATAAGCTGTTTTTGGAGAATTCAGGTATTTTATGTAGAGAAAGAAACTTAAAATGAACTATAAAATTGTATCTTTCAAAGGATATCTGACTTCAAATTTGAGATGTGTATTTCAGAAACTAGTATCAAAATGTATGTATCAAACACCTATTTCTGTATTTAAAACTCCCAACAGCCTTGCCACAACTACATTATTGTGTAATGTTTACTCTGAGTATTTGACTATATTAGCTCCAAAACTTATGACACAGTCAATAACTAAATATTCCTTCTGAAGTGTTTACTCTACTAAAAATCTTGTTATACAAATCAGAACTGCATCACTGACCACAAGGAAAGAAAAGTAAGATTAAGTGATGGAGCCACAGAAATGATACGCATATTCAAAAAACAAAGCTCCTCCACAGCCCTGTTAGTACCAGTAAATCACTCCCCCTTCAAAGGTTTCTGACAATTGGTTAGAATGGGAAGAAAAATTCAAGTTAGAGGGAACAAGATAGAAAGGAAGAAAGATTAATCTATTAACAATTATAGATGGAAAAAAACCAATCTTTAAAAAAGACAAAACTGTCTATAGTAGTACAGTTAGTTGCATGGCAGTGTTGCTGACAAGAAACCACACCATCTTACTTTTGGAGAGCCATCTCCTTCTGCTGATAGAGCTCATTCAGAATTTCCACTTTCTGCCTCAGGGTTCTGCACTCATCTTCCAGCCCAGCTTTGGCAGACTGCAGTGAATTGCGATCATCTTCTAATTTCTTTATTTGGTCTGTGAAAAATAAAGCATCTGAGCTTTGTGTGTGTGCATAGGGATTTGGCCACTTGTTGAGTGGATGGTGCTAAGAGGGCTGAGAAACTCGAAATCAGGAAGCTAGTCTACATCTTTCCAACATGTGGCAATTTCTTCTCAAGAGTAACCTACCTTCCAGGTTACATTTAGTGGACATCGAGGCTCTAAGCTTAAACTGTAAAAGTTTTAGATCCTCTTCAACTACTGATATTGCAGTTTGTGTCTAGAAATTGCAGGAGAGAGAAATATTCTTAAAAGACAGGCATTGTGAGAATTTACAGGTATTTATAGTACTCTATAAAGAGGATGATACCCGAGAAATGTCCATCATCTGCTTGATCTGATTTTTCATCTTCTCATTCTGGTCACCTAAAAAAGAAAACGCTTCAATTGCTTTTTCCTCCCTGGTTTCTTAACTGTATTTTTTTGATTTCCTAAAAACTAAACAATTACTGTGCTCAAACTTTCAAAGTAGAAACAAATTAGCCAACAAAACTTATCAGGCTATCTGACTTCAAAAGAACAGCAAACTTAAGATTCAAAAAGTAAATTTCCAGTTTGTACAATAAAAATGTTATCCATGCTGTTCTTGAAAGAAGAAGGGGTATGTGAGGTAAAGCTTTCTTTCCCTCTCAAAGTTATCCCTACTTGGTCAAGTATCTTATTTAGAAAAACTCACTCCTCTGTTCTCCCCTTGAATCTGCCACCAGGTGTGGCTTAAAATACCCACTATGCAAGCAAAACCCAACTTGGGAAAGTGTCTAGAAGCATTTCCCTTATCAATAAGCAAACACTACTACCCCTTTCACTTCCACTGTCCTGCCTTAGGTTATGGTACCTACCACCTCAGTACTCTTAAAATTGGTCATGGGCCTTAAAACCATAGAGTTACAGAGACGGAAGTATTAAATTCAAGTATCATCTCCATCAAGATGAGAAACAAGTTTCTCCTGCTGAATAGCTGTCAGGACTCAGGTGTTAGGCACACCTAATGCTGCTGTACGAGCTCCAGGGCACGCATCCAGCTCTCAACTTAAGCAACCCACTCTGCTCAGGACACAGATGTACAGATCTGGATTCAGTGATGTGTGTCTACAACTCTAATGCTTAAGAGGAAATTCAGTCAGCCGAAAAGGAGCAACAGGGTACTTTTAACTAAAGACAGGAAGGCAAAAAGAGGTCCAGCCTCCCTGAAACTGATCTTACCTCCTACTTCTCCATTTGCTAATTCATCTGACTCATTTCCTTCTTTGCTCTGACCTGCAGATTCAGATTCACAATCTAACCGATTCAACTGTGTAATGCAATTAGTCAGAGCCTAGAAGTGAAGGAAAAGTATTATAAAGAGCCTCTCAATTTTAATTGTGCAGATTTCATGAGAACTCATGAGAATTAAGCATGTATTCAAGAAAATGAACTTACACTAATATTATCATCTTTGTGAGTAAGAACTACTTCCAAATCTTTCTGAGACTTCTCAAATGATTTGATTTGCTCGCTGAGCTCAGAATGGGATTTACTCCAGTCTTTGATTTCCTGCTGCAGCTGAAAAGTTAAAACACACGTATTTCCAAAGGTTAGGGCTTTTGAACTGGAGACATTAGGACCATGTCAATGAGAGGGAAGCAGGGAGCCATGTTCCTCTATGGCCTGTCACTATGGGCTAAGGCCTTGGTGAAGGGAGAGTGACTCCAACCCTCTGAGCTGCAGTGACAATGAGAGCTGTCAAAGAAGTTAATCCAGTTTACTGTATCCTTCAGAAAATTGCAGCCAACTGAAATAATTTAATTTCAGTATGAAGAGAAGGGCACATGTGTCTCCCTAGTCCAGACTTCAGATGATGTAACCTTCCCTTGGTCAGTGAAGAAGTAACTTGTCAAAGGACTCTTATAAATACCGAATTCTTTGGTCTAAGAACCAAATCCACCACCCCCTCAAGCCTATTTAAGTCAATAACTGGCTGGTGTTTGACAAGACAAAGACTAAACTATAACAAACTGTACAGAACAGAAAATCCAGAACAGATGGAGAATGTATACATGCACTTAATTTGAGGAGCATAGTTTAAATTTTGTCTATCTATGAAAAGCATCCTGCATACATACTTCTTTAAAAACAGATCTGAGAAAAGACACCCAAGAGGTAAATGATATTTGGTTCTCTAATTTATAACCTATGACGTTAACTTTTCTTTACCTGCTGTTTCTTCTTCTTAAGCCTAGCATTTTCTTCCTGAACTCGATGGCATTGAGACTTCACCTTCTCTTCACTAAGTTTAGCTTCATTAAGAGCAATCTGAACCTAATACAAAACACCTGTATTAGAGAAGTAACTGCAAAGGGGAAAAAAAGTGACCTGTAACCAATTACACAACACAGTTTTCATTTTTTGCATATTCTAGTGCACATCAAATGTTTGCTCCTCAATAAAACCAAGGCACCGAATTAATATCTTACTGGAATTGTAAGCAGCTTTACCTCTGAAAATTCTGAAGCATTCACTGAGATAATATCCTTTAACTTCTCTATAGATTTCTTGTTTTCCAGTATCTGCCATGTAGGGGAAAAAAAATCCATAAAAATATAAGGATTTCAGGAGAAACAATGGGATATATATATATACTAAAAGGAACATTAACAAAACACAACCCAGAGCCATCCCCTCCGTATCAGGCAAAAGCAAGTGATCCAGTTTTAGCCCATTAAAAAAGTCAAGAATGTAAAGACATGAGCAAAGAAGAAAATAATTGGGGCAATAAATATTTCATGCCATCCACAACTTTCCTGGCTGTGAGATAATGTGGTGGATGACCAGACAAAAAGATGAAAGCAAAGAAAATAGAAAAACTTTCATAAACCAATTCAAATCAATGGTTTTTCCTAGAGATAGAAAAATACCTCCAAGGTCACATTTCCTTGTGCCTGAAACGAAAGATGGCTCAAGTTGAGGGAGACTAGATCAATCTCACATACAGAAAAATTCCAAATAATTTATGAAGATACTCTCCTCTCAAGGAGATGAAGCATACTCTCCACTGTTTAACTGTGGGTTGTGCATAGTCAACTTCCTTCCAAAGAGTACAGTATGCAAAGGGTGGAAAAAAGGTAACTCACAGTGGCAAAACCTAGCAAATACTTCAGCCCGGTGATCAAGTTTAATGGGGCGTATATGGGAACCGTCTCTACTACCATTGCAACTCTTACATAATTCTAAAACTGCTTTAAATTTCAAGTTTATTAAAAAAAAAACAATGCAAAATAAAACAAAACAATGTACTTGAACTGTTCTACTGGGCAACAGTTTCTTAGTTGCTCTACATGTTTTGGAGGACAAAGCCAAGCAACATGAAAATTATCCAGGTCTGACAATAAAAATATTTTCTAGGACCCTAAAAATAGTAACTTGTGGTATTAGCACTTAAAATTCCAAAAAAAATGGACAGAAGTCAGTTTGACTTCCCTGACTCACAATCTTACTAGTCACAGCATGGGAAAATGCAAAGTTCAACTCACCCCACACACAAAATAGTATGAAAGCCAAATTACAGTAACACTTAGTAGCAAAACTCTTACCAAGTCCTGTTTCTTAGCATTCTGTTCTCTCTCTGATTCTAACATGACACGCAGACTTTGAGCTGTATCATCTAGAAGTTCATTAGTTTCCTCAAGTTTCTTGATTTTATCCTATGAAAAAGATAGAGGTTAATAATAATACTCATCATTTTTCTTTTGTTTTTAGAACATAATCTCAAAAAGTGAAGGCATTTTTACCTTAAATTTAACTGCTTCATCAGAGAGAATCGTATTTTGTTTCTTGGTTTCTTGAACATGTTTCTTTGATTCCTTGATCTATATAAAATAAAGCATTCAAAATTCAGAAATATAAATTATAGTGCTACTGAAACTTATCTCCAAATAGGTGACCCCATGGAGAAGAAAGCAGTACCCTACAGATATGATGACTGCTTCATATTAGGAGGGTTCATAGTAAATTATCAAACAAAAAGTATGATTTAAACATACCAAAATAACTGAATTAAAAGACAAATAGAAATAATTCAAGCTGGAACCATGGGAGAAAAATACAAAAGAATGATTATACCTTTTGTTCATAATTTGATAATTTTTGTACAAGTTCTGCATTTTCTTTCATGATATTCTTCAACTTCTCAGAAATTTGCTGTTCAGTGACTAAAAAGGGGAAAATCCATAAAATTATTCTGATCACTATATAAAACTTAATCACCCAATGTATGAGAAACAGACATGTTATCTGGCACTATGAGGAAAAATAACTTCTTAGCATAACTTTTATGCATAATTAACTTAGCATAGCTATTGCTTTAAAAACCTATCTGTAGTTAAAAGCAATAGGGTGAAAAAGTATTATTAAAATTTAAGAAAAATATAATAACCCTTATTTCAATGAGATTTCAATTTATTTCAAAGACAAGAAAATATTTTAGCTTGATAATCCTTTCCTTCATGAAGTACCTTTCTTCTCAGAAAAACGTGATAATTTCAAATACATGTCACTTGCAAAGAGAAACAAAAACTGCATGCATGATTTATGTCTTTATTCTTCACATTATCTACTTAAAATGTTAAACTGACCATCTTCCTATTTCCGCAATTTGTTCTATCTCAATTCCTATCTTGGTTGGTACTATCACCATGTACTTTTGTCATCCAAGCTATCAACCTAGGATTAGTAAAATGTTCAGGAGTAATAAGTCCACCAGACATCAGAGGTCATTGTATTTACATCTAACTTACATAAAACTTAAATCAAACACCAATGAGAATAGTACAAATAGCAAAATAAACCTAAATATTTACCTTGATATACTCTATTCTTTACCTAAAATTGAGAGAAATAAAATTACATTTGATGTCAAAACTTTATATTAATAGAAGTATTATAGTTCCTAATACAACAAATAGTAATTAAATGAAAATTCAGTAATTTTTGGTTCAGCATAATGAACCATAGGATTAAAAAAAAAATGAAAAAGTAAAAAAACATTTCCAACATAATTGGTAGTGATATTCCATAATAGTTTCCAATAGATTAAAGCACTAAGGTAAATAACTCATTATGCAACTAAAGATATGTTTACATATCTATTAAATGATCATCAGTTTTATTAGATAAGTATTTAACTTTAATAATGGAAAGGATAATATTTTCATATTAAGAATAATACTGCTTCATTTACCCAAAATCATTTATTTGACAGATTTGACAGATTAGATTTATTTGACAAATAAATGACCCAAGATCATTTATATGACAATAAATGACATAATCATTTATTATTCAGATCAGTCCCAAATCACCCACGATATCTCAGTATTATTACAATATCTAACATCACTCATAATAGCACTGCTATGGGAAAATGCATTCAGAGCCTCCACTTCGGAAGAAATTACTATTTCTCTAGTGTACAGCCTTGCTAACGAGAGGGTGAGCTTCCGGTGCCCGCCTTACACCCAAATCAGCAGAAAGGAGAAAGCAGGAAGCAGCAGGCAACTGAGGGGATGCAGCAGGGTTCCAAAGTCAAAGGCTGCGGCTGAGAAGCAGCAGGAGCTCAGGAAGCCGGCATTACCGCGTGAAAGTCCAAACAGGTGTTAGAATTTTCAAGAAGGGAGAAACAAGAGTGGGAAATAGAAAACATTTTCTCCCCTTCCCCTTCCATTCACCCCTTTATTCTCTTTTTTTCCTTTTATCTAAGGAAAAGCCTCATTGTGTTAGAGAGGTTTTCCCAGGAATTCCAGGAAAAGACCCTTCTCTTTAAGTAATCTTATAATTACTTGTGCAAATAGAGAAAGCTTATTAACAATGATATGTCTAAAATTAAGAAATCAGAAAAATAATATTTAATTTAAAAAAATACATCACTGCTTTTGGCTGATTTAACTGTTAAGTTTCATCTGAAAGCTCTTCATCTGCAAAGTCATTCTACACAGAATATTTTTCCCCAATTATGTTAGACATAAGTATAAATCTTGTATGAGTATACATACACAGATAAGCACAAGGCAAATTCTGCACCCAAAAAAAAGACTAAGGGATAAAAATGTTAATAGTGTGTTTTTGGATACTATATAATCTGTATTTACAAATAAAAAGATATTTTCTAAGCACAACTATACATGATCAATTTAGAAAATCTAATATATTATATATATACATGAAAAAAATTGAAAAATTTTCTTGCTTCCTAGAAATAAGTACTTTTACCATTTTGTTATATTTCCTTGTAGCATTTTTTTTGTGGGTGTGTTTATATAATATAGTTTATCTACGTTCTAAAATCTTGGTTTCTGCTTTTTTCCACTTAATATTAAATTGTGAACATTTTCTGTGTTCTAGTGTCTTGAAATACATAAAGTTGCCTGATATCCCATTATATGGATGTACAATAATTTAGCAATCTCCCCTGTGGATCATTTAGGTTGTATCAAGTTTTCGCTCTAATAAATACTGTTCCACTGAACACCTTTACACAAGATCCTTAAAGCATGATTGGTATTTCTTCAGGATCGATTACTAGAAATGGTATTACACTATATAAAAGGATATGAATGTTTTTAAGGCTTCTGATACTATTATTAAACTGCTTTTCAGGATGGCTATAAGAGTTTCCAATTCTATAACAGTACACATATGTGCCTAAATGGTTGAACTTTAGGTTTTTATATAACGGATTTATAAATTGAAGTTTTCCCACTGAGATTATACAAACATTGTCTTGTTCACTTAAGTCTTCACCAACAAAGATTGCCCTGAATTGTTTACAAGGTTAGCTTAGATTGTAGGTATTAATTTGTGTTCATGTTAGTAACTGAAAGAGAAACAAAAGGACCAGTGATTATAAAATATCTCTTGTAAGCGAATTTGTGACTCAAGTTACTCACAACAAGAATAGTTCTCCAGAAGAAAATGGCAAATGAAACAATTCCCAAGAAGGCAGTAATAAGTACAGGCTTCCATGGCAATCCATAAAAATCAGGCCCAGGCTGAACCTCATCAGGCAATGTAGCAACTAGCTGAAACAGAAATAATAGAAATAATAGGAAACTATAAAGAAATTTATAAAAAGCAGTCACAAAGAAATTTTAAATCAACCTCCATTAGGTAATTACCCCTCAAAAATCTTCAATAGCTTCCACTGACTCAATAAAGAAACAATACTGGCAGCCTTATATTTCTTGTTTGGCTTGAAGTATTTTTAAACATTTTGAATCTAAATGTCTTTAAGTTGAGCATGTGTTTTCAGTTTGCAGTGAGTCCTACACATCATGTTGTCTAACACATGGCTAGGATCTCTCTGGATCATACCTTTCTCTTAGTTGATCTTTATTACCTAAAAAGTCACACAAAAAATTGAAACACACTATAGAAATAATTAACTTTTAGAGCTGCAAATAAACCCAAAATGATGATAATTAATAACACAAATGGGCTTTTCCTCCAAGAGTTTAAATCTTTATTTCACTCTTACATAAAAGCAAATGCTAACTTCAGGCACCTCCTGATAACTGGTCTAGACTGCTTTTGAATTCGTCTTTTCTTTAACTCAATGCCTTAACTTTAGCTTCCTCAAAGACAGTGCATTCAACATCTGCCTGCTTCTACAGTTTTCACTGCCTTCTAAAAGAGCACAACTAACTATCACACTGGCCCAACCCTGCAAGGGTGCGTGGGGTCACTGGAAAAGGCACGTAGGGATGTGATGCTTGCATTCCAGAAAGTGGCTGGACACCATAAAGTGGTACCTGGTACTTCGTACATAGGGCCTGGTACATCGTAAGTGCTCGTAAAAAATGAACAAGTGACAAACCTCAAATACATTCCCACTGGCTTCCCTAAACAGCACAGCACCGTCCTGCCTGCCTCGGGCCTGACACACTCCATTTCTCTCGAGCTCCGTCAAGAAGTGCCACCCACACCATTAAAACCTCGTCCACCCGCCTGCTAGAGTTGGGGTCCCTCCCTGGGAAGGGGGACCGTCACCTCCAGTAGCTTGGCTAAGAGGGCTGCGTAGAGAACCGACAGGGGTCCCAGAAGATCCGCGTCCCCCGGGGAAGCGGTGACAGAAGGCACAGTGGCAGGTACTGAGTCCATTGTGTGTGCACCGCTGAGCGGAGGCGACGCTTCCCCGTGGAACGGCACTCGACCCCCCCCACTTTCAACTTGTTTCCTCCTTCGGAAAGGACCCGGCTCAGGGGGAGGATACCGGGAGCGAACTTCACCTTCGCCCGGCGCGGGCCTTTCCGCCCGCGCTTCCCAGGCAACACGTCATCAGACACCGCCCCTGGGCGGACGCAAACGCGCGACGGAGGCCGGGCCCGCGTCGGGCGGGGCCCGGGCGGAAGAGACCAACGGTCGGGAGAGGCCGGGGAGGGCGAGTACTGCGCGGAAGACGCCGAGTAAAGGGGGGCGGGAGGAAGGTGGCGGTTACAGGAAGAGAAAGTGAAATTTAGAGGAGGCCGGCAGTGCGGAGGCTCGCGGGAAGGCCGATGGCAGGTGTTATTCCAGCATTACCTGTAACAACAACAGACTGGAAACAAATGACCATCAGGAGAAGGGTTACTGAATACACTAAAGGACACAATAAACTAGAAAAAGAAATGAAACAAAATAATTCTACGTACCACTAGGGTACAGTTTCCCTACGAAATAACAAAAAGATGTTTTTTAAAAGGGATGGAGGAAAGTATAGAATACTTCTTTTACCTAAGAAAATGATATGAAATTTTTTTAAGGCTGTGAGATAAAATTGGCACACAATAAACCACGTATTTCAAGTGCACAGTCTGGTAAGTTTTGACATGAATACGTCTATGAAACCATCATCACATTAAGATAATGAACATATGTATATGTTCGCCTCCCAAAATCTCATCCCCCGTTGGTAATCCCATCTCCTGCCATTTACTACCTCTTCCTGTCCCACAAATAGAATTTCTGTCATAATAGATTAATTTACATTTCCTAAAGTTTTTATATATGTAATAGTACACCACGTATTCTATTTTCCCTGGCTTCTGTCATTCAGCATAGCTTGATATTCATCCATGTTGCTGCATATATTAATAGGTCATTCCCTTTTATTGCTGAGAATCATTTCATTGTATGAATACATCACAATTTATTTACTTGTTGGTGGGCATTTCCCAACCCCCGGTTTTCAACTCTTACAAATATAGCTGCTATGAACACTGATCAAGTCCTTCTATGAATGTATCATTTATTTTCTCATGGGTAAATGCTCACCAAAGGGATGGCGGAAACATTTGGCAAGTGTATGTTTATCTTTTTAAATAAATTGACAAACTTTTTCTAAGACTGTGCCATTTTATATCCCCACCAGTAATGTACATTTCCAGTTCCTCCACATGTTCTCTAACACTTTGTATAATAGGTCTTTTTAATTTTAATCATTATAGTAAGTACACAGTGATAATTCATGCTGGTTTAAATTTGCATTTCCCCAATAAGCAGTGATGCTGAACATTTTTTAATGTACTTGTTTTGCTACCCACGTATCTTCTTTAGTGAAGTGTTATTTGGATTGCTTTCTTATTAATGAGTTTTGAAAGGTCTTCATATATTCTGGATATAAGTCCTTTATAAGATATATGCCTTGCAATGATTTCTTCCTAGTCTGTGGCTTGCATTTTTGTTCACTTAACAGTGTATTTCGAAGAGCAGATGTTTTTAATGAAATTCAAATTATCTAATTTTTCTTTTATGAATCATGCTCTTGGTGTCAAACCTAAGAAATCTTTGTTTAACCTTTTTCTAGAAGTTTTACAGTTTTAGGTTTTTATTTTCAGGTCTATGAACCATTTTGAGTTAATTTATGTTTATGATGTGAGGTATGGATCAATTTTTTGCACAGGGATATTTCCAATAGTTCTAGTACCATTTATTGAAAAAGACTTCCCTTTCTCCACTTAATTATCTTTCCAACAGTCAGAAGTCCATTGCCATATATGTGTGGATCTCCTTTTGGATGATCTATCCTGTTCCAATGATCTGTCTGTCTGTCTTTATGCTGATATGATGCTATCATAATTACTGTAGCTTTATAACAAGTCTTGAAATCAGGTCATATTTGCATGGTTCTAGGTCCTTTGCACCTCCCATATGAATTGTAGAATCAACTTGTCATTTACTACAAAAAATCCTGCTGGGATGCTGATTGGGATTATGTTGACTCCAGTGATCAAACTGGGGAGCTTAATATCTGACATAATCGGGCATAGTGGCAATAGGATACTTAATATTTAGTCTTCTCACTCATGAGCAAGGTGTCTCTCTCCATATACTTAGGTCTTATTTAATTTTTATCAGCAATATTTTATAATTTTCAGTTTATATGTCTGACAGTTTTAACAAATTTATCCTTAAGTACTTCATATTTTTTGATGCTGTTGTACAAGGAAGTTTAAATTTCAATTTCCAACTGTCTATTGCTAGTAGACAGAAACACAATTGCTTTGAGATGTTAATCTTGACCTAGCAACCTCACTAAACTCACTAATTAGCCCTAGTAGCTTTTTTGTAGGTTCCAAAAGATATTATTCATAGACATTCTTGTCTGCAAATAAAGGTAATTTTACTCCTTCCTTCCCAATCTGGATATTTTTTCTTTTTTTTCTTGGCTTACTGCACTGGCTATTTATTGCATTACTGTGCCCCACTACAATGGTGAATAGATGTGATGAGAGTAGACATCTTTATTTTGTTTCTGATCTTCGGGGGAAGCCTTCATTCATTCACCATTAAGTATGTTAGCTGTTAAGTTTTTCAGAGAGGCATTTTCAACTCTCTTCTATTCCTAGTTTGCTAGCTTTTTTTTTAGTATCAGTAATCAATGTTGGATTTTTTTCACATGCTTTTTCTGTGTCTATTGAACTGAACATAGGGATTTTCTTTTAAAGTTTGTTAATATGTGACACACTGACTGATTTTCTAATGTGAAATGAACTTTACATTCTTGGGATAACCATACTTGGTCATTTTGTATTACCCATTATATAACTGTTGGATTGGATTTGCTAAAATTTTAGGTAGAATTTTTGTGCCTATGTTCATATCAGATACTGGTCTATGGTTCTGTCTGGTTATCATGCTAATGCTAGCTTCATACAATGAGTTGGGAAGTATTTTATCGTCTTCAATTTTCTAGAAGAGTATGTATAGAGTTAGTATTTATTCCTTACAGGTTTAATTGACTTCACCAGTGAAGCCATCTGGGACTGGAGTTTTCTTTACAGAAGGTTTTTATCTGTAAATTCAATTTTTTAAATAATCATTAAGTCTACTGAGGTTATCTATTTTGTCTTGAATGAGCCTTTGCAATTTGTATCTTAGATGCAATTGCTTCATTTCATCTAAAATGTAAAGTCAACTGGGATAAATTATTCATAATATTCACTTTTCATTGTTTACTATTTGTAGACTCTATAGTGATGTTCCTCACTAATTGCTGATATTGGTAATTTGTGTATCCTCTTTTTCTTCCCTGATCACTCTGGTAGAGGTTAATCAATTATATTAATCTCAAAGAGCTGGCCTTTGTTTTCATTGATTTTCCTTTTTTCCCCCCACTGATTTATACTCTTTCTTTTCTTCTTTTCAGGGATTAATTTGTTTCTCTTTTTCTAGTCTCTTATGGTGGAAACTGAGGTCACTTCTTTTCAAATCGAGACAGTGCTATAAATTTCTAAGTTGTGGCTTTAGAGGTATTGCACAAATTTGTTACATTGTGTTTCCATTTTAATTCAGCTCAAAATACTGACTTCTCTTTTGATTTCTTTGACCCATAAGTATGTGACTTAGTTTCCAAATACTTGGGAATTTTTCCATAGTTCCTTCTATTAATGATTTCTAATTTAACTTTACTGTGGCAAGAAAATGTACTTTGTATGATATGGATCCTTTTGTATTTATTGAGACTTGTTTTATGGCCCAAAATGTGGTTTATCTTGGTAGATGTTCCACGTGCACTAAAAAGGAATATGTATTTGGCTCTCATGGGTGGAGGTCTTCTATAAAAGTCAATGAGGTCAAGTGGTTGATAATGTTATTTATACCTTATAGATCCTTACTGTTGTTCTATTTGTTCTACAAATTGTTCAGACAGGGGATCAAAATCAGTTGTAATTGTAGACTTATCTATTTTTCTAGGTAGTTCTATCAGTTTTTGTCTCATGTATTTTAAATGTATGTGAATAGAAGCACATTTAGAATTGTTATGTTCTCTTGATTAACTGATACCTTTATCACTAAAAAAAATAATAACTTTCTTTTATCCCTGCTAAAATACTCTGCTATGGAATCTCCTTTTTCTGGTATTAATATAGCAACTCCAGCTTTCATTTGACTAATAACAGCATGAGATACATTTTCAAACATTTTAGTTTTAACCTTTTTGTGTCTTTTCATTTAAAGTGTGGTTCTCGTAGGCATCAAGTTGGGTCCTGCTTCTTTACTCAATCTGACAATTTCTGCCTTTTAATTGGAGTATTTAGAAATTTTCCATTTAATGTGATTATTGATATGGTTAAAGCTTAAGTCTAACAACTTTTTTTTTCCTATTTGTCTCATCTGTTCTTTGTTCCCTTTTCCTTCTTATTCTGCCTTCTTCTGGATCAACTGAGACTTTTTAATGATTCTAATTTGTCTCCTCTGTTGGACTATAACTCTGTTTTGTTATTTTAGTGGTTGCTTTAAAGATTTAACTCATCAGTCTACCTTTAAGTGATACTATACTACTTCATGTATATAACAACTTTACAAGAGTTATTACCATTTTCCCCTCCCCTGACATTTATACTATTGTTGTCATACATTTTACTTTTCGTGTTCTAAACCCCATCCTATATTGGTAGTATTTTTCTTTAAAAAGTTAACTTTAAAGATATTTAAATAACAAGATGATGGTTTTATATATTTAACCATAAGGTTACCATTTCTGGCATTCTTCACTCCTTTGTGCAGCACCATTATTTCCATTTGTTGTCATTTTCCTCAAGCCTAACTTTTTTTATGGTGCAGGTACGCTGGTGAATTTGTTCTGTGCTTGCATGTTGGGGGAAAAAATCTTCATTTAATCTTTGTTTTTGAAAAGTACTTTGCTGAGTATGATACTGTAGGTCAAGAATATTATTCTTCAAGTATATTAAAAGATATTATTCTATTCTATTTTCCCATGCCTTGTGACAAGAAATCTCATGCCAGCCTTACCTTAGTTTCCCTCTATGTAAAATATCTTTTTTCTCTGACTACTTTTAAAGTTGC